CTTGATTAATATTATTCAATGATACAAAGCGCAATGCATCCAATTATTTGAAAAAAAAAAATCTTTGAAAAAAATAATTTTTTATACTATGAAAATTTCTATTGCGAGACATCCTTGCTTCTAATCATCATGTTTGATATCATGTGTTGAACATATTGTGTGTATTAGATCCAGAAAACTATGAGCCATTTTGTAGGAGACGTTATCCAGTGTTCACTAGAACAAGATCACATGGAAGGTGTCGAGGAACATGAATGGGTAAGTAAATGTTTCATGTACTGTAAATCATAAAATTGAAATCGTGTCAATAAGGTAGATACTGTTAAATGGATGTAATAGTAAATTTATTATATAAATAATATAGCGAGAGAGAGAGAGAGAGAGAGATGTGTATACATTTCCATTCATATTTTTAGATCTTCAGTACGTAATTTAAAGATAATTATAGTAACCTAATAATAAGGAAATCGAAATCATATACTTTTATCTCTCTATATGTTATTTATATAATTTATTATTATATATGACTTCTTATTGCCATAATTTCAATTTTATTATTATTTTTTTTATAGAACTTCTCTCTAAATTTACTTATATCATTTGCTGTGTTATAATTCTGGTTTTTAAGTAATTATTTATTTATCTTGATAGTTTAATAATTCTGTACTCTCATTAGTTTCATATGTATATTATGTACGAGTATACTATCACATTATCTTTTTTATATTTATTTTAGTAAAAATAATATTAACAAAGCAATAAGTTTCAAAATAGAAAGAAAATTTATATACAATTTATTTACAAAAATAATTGATTAACATTCAAACTTATTGTTTTAGGACGAGTGAAAATTGAAGACTTGTGGATAGATGCAAACTGGAAAGATAAAAATCTAAAAAACGTAGTTTTTGTTTGAGCCGCGTAAATTATTCATAAGTTAGAATTATATATCGCGCGAATGGCAACAATATCGCAGTGTTACTGTGTATAGAGTGAGAGACAGTTGTCGAAGAAATATACTTCCAACAATTTTCTTTTGCGGGGGAAGTAAAAATACAGTGTTTTATATCAATTTACAACAAATAATACTCATTTTTTCGTAAATCTAGCTTAAGATTTTGTAATTGCATTTTTTAATGCATAGAAGTAAGAATCCAGGCCTTGTTAACACATTAATTTAAAGTAAAAAGATAAACGAAGTAAATGACACAAGAGATTTTTTAATCTGACTACATTAATGCAATATTTGATATAACGCAGTGTCAGTATGATAACACAGTTCTTATAAAACTAAAATGCGTGATTATAGCTCTAGTCCCAAATAATTTTTTAAAATCGCTTTTTTATCTCACTTATATATTTCTAACTATACTTAAAAATAATTCTGTACTATTCTATAGTATATCATATATTGTAGAGATTATATTAGATATAGGATATGCTTAATTATTGTCAAGAGAATTGGGAAGCTTATAATGCAATTGGACAATAGTTTCATCCATTTATTTAATGAATATCAGTTTTTTAAGTTTAATGGATGAGTAATTCTTCTTAGAGCGAGTATGCTAGTATATTCGTTACAATCATTACCTGCTTTTCAGTACCGAGTGTAAACGATATCAATTGTGTCAGAGACAATTATTGACGATTTTTTTAATTATTTACTATATATCAAGCATTAAAATGATTAGAATTTTCTATGTAAACAAGAAAAAACTGTAATAATGTGCCATTTGTGAAACGACAGACATAATCCAATCTGCCATTAATAAGAAAGAGAAAAAGCAGTATTACAAACAATATTATTAGTTCTTTGAAAGTAATTGATTTCTCATTAAAGTTGACATTCCTTATTTAATTTATTTAATTGCCACACTAGTGCCAGATTTATCTTTGTTTCGATTAATTTCAGGTGTCAATAATAATGTCAATGTATAATATGTCATAATATAATATATTATTACTGATAATAGAGCATTACTGATAATAGAGCAAACACACAGTTTCGTCGCAGATTGTGGGGAGAGGGGGGGGGGCGGAGAAGCAAATGATGTTTTACGATATTTCATATCTTTGCACGCATATACAAAAAGACAAATTAAGTGATAAATTCAACGCGCAAATAAGTAATCTTAAGCAATTAATTTTATAACTGGTGAACATTTAATGAACATTCTGTAACATTTAAGTGATTAATGAAGAAAAAAAATGATCCTCTTTTTACAATAATCTTTCTTATCAAAATATTGAATAATAACACAATTGCCAATTTATTAGCAATAATCTTTTTATCTAAATATTCAAATCAGAATATTTCATCTCGTCTATATACATGCGTATGTATTTTTACAAGTTATAAAAAATAATGGTACTATGTCCTCCAAAAATAAGTTTTGTAATTGGTGATAAAATATCTATTTTTTTCTTTGTAAAAGATTGAATGTTATATATATGAATGTATGTATGTATGCATATACAGGATGTCTCACAACTACCATATTTTCTCTTAAGGACATATTCTTGAGGTAATTTTGAGACGAAAATTCTAATAAAATGTCGAAACTATTAATTTTTTGAATTATAAACTAATTTTAAATGCTTATAAATCAAAAACTATTTTATTTTTATAATCTATTATTATTTTTGAATTCTTTTGTGTTGTTGACATTCTAAGACAAAAATCCTAATACATCGAGGCTATAATATAAAGCTTTCGAATTACACACTATCTTTAATTAATTATTCAAAACCTATTATAGCTTTGACTTTTTTTTGTATTAGGATTTTCATCCTAAAATTACTTTAAGAATACGTTCTTAAGATGAAATGCGCTAGTTGTGAGATGATCATCCTTTTGTGTGTGTGTGTGTGTGCGTGCGTGCGTGCGTGCGTGCGTGCGTGCGTGCGTGCGTGCATTAGAGTGATTGTTATTTTAATAATTTTCGAAATTTAATCAGGACACTCCCTAAAGTGGTTCAATATTACAAAAAAAAATAACATCAATTTTTTCAAATTTTTTGAACAATTTTAATTAATTTCATTTAATTAATTAATTTCATTGGATCGGCAATTTTTACATTGGATTCTAATCAAAATTTACGTAAAATGGACTTTTTTAACTCATTCAATTTCAAGCAAATTAAAAAAAATTTTAATATGGGTTAAGAATTACAGTGTCGACCGAATTTTATCCAAAGGTATTTTTCCGTCTATTCGTGTCACTGGAACTTAAAATTTGAAAAATCTAGTTATTTTTTTAGGTATTGAACTGCTTTAGAGCTGTCCCGATTAAATTTCAAAAATTGTTAAAATAATATACTTTAATATATATATTTGTGTGTGTGTGTGTGTGTGTGTGTGTGTGTGTGTGTGTGTTATACACACATATGTATATATATAAACTATTTTTTTTTACTTTTCATATCTTGGGGCATATGAATATATTTTATCAACATAGTGCCAAAAATTCATTACTAATAGTATTTTTTGTATCTTGCACATTTTAGACCTATAAGAAGGCATTCGAGAGTATTTAAGAAATTTTCTTAAGAAATGTCAGATGTTTAAGATGAAACTTGATTTGTCACTCCCATTTACTCATCCGCACTACTGATTTTATATTGCATTATAAAAAAAAGATACAAGTGTTGCATATCTTGATGTAATGTTTTTTGTTTATTCGTACATGTTATATATAACAATCGCAATTCAGATTTGTAACCATTTTGCAGTTTTCAATTCTATCCGTTTATGACCAGATTATGAATAATAAACGATTTTTTACAGAACGACATTAGAGATTAAGACATTAGAGATAAACGTGCATAATAAAAAAAAAATGATTAAATATTTCACGATTTGATTTCGTTCTGTAAATCTTCGCTGTCTAAATAATTTTATCATATAGTAATGTATCTTTATATATCAATCTTATAACGTTCATGTATTTCAGCTATAAAATCTTTTTATCAAAAATTCTAATCATATCTGATTTC